GGTATTTTTGTTCTCTTAAGGATGTGTTCTAAGCAAGTGTTCATCATATAATTAAAATTTTTTTGTGTGACAGTTCAAAGTGATCGTGTCTAGTAATACTGGAATTAACATTGGTCTCAAACACTAAAAAGAAATATGTAAATCACTCCACGCAATTCATCACTGCTATTTTTTCATTCCAATTTCTTGTATTCTGCATTGTATTCTCGATTAATTTCTAACACGTGTGTCTAAGCAGAAACTTATAACGTCATTCCATACAAAGTTTTGATAAAACATCTCTTTAGTAACTGCTTTTTCTCTTACCTTCACATAAAAACTCTGAAAATCCTATGCAAAAATTAAAAGTATTTGATGAAATGATCGTCTATATAGATGAGGGCCCTGGAGAATAGCTGTGAGCTCTCCAAGCTTCTCATTACCTCATTCCGGCAGTTTCTCAAGATGGATCAGCTGCAACTGGGACGGTCACGAAAATTTTTGGCTCAGAATTTGTGTACGTAATACCAGAATCTATAATGACTTTTAAACATGTATTTCCTCGGAAATATTTCATCATTAATTATATCGATTTATGTAAGTATTGATTAATGCAATAATTAATCGTTAAAAGTTTTAGTTCACTACATTATAGCTAAAAAAACAGTGCCATAACCTACAGTCAGAAAGATCAATGGAAATATCGAAGAAAAACCTTGGTTATGTATTTACAGGAAAAGTGAGTCGAATAGGTTTCGACAAGATAGTTGTGATCCTTATTTTTTTCCGATGCATTCGAGCCGAATTCAGAAAAAAATTTCGTCTTGTCAGACTCTACAGTTGAAAGCGATAATAAAAAGTGAGTACCTGCTTCTTTCTTGAGTTTAAAAGTTATATAGACTATAAATGAAGTAGAACACATATATATTCTTTTAAAACACTTATGTTCGTAGACTGAATTGATTTTACTATAGTTCTTTTCTCCACTTCATCATAACAAACATGAACTCATCGTATTCATTCGATCATCTAAAAATATACTCTATTACAGAACTTTGCTACCAACTAATCTTTTTCTTCTCTTTCAGTGATGAATATTTCATTATTAGCGACTCCTGTAGAACCACAGTGCTAATACAAACAAATCGCCAAAGTCCAAATATTTCTTGCGTGAGGATTATACGATTTCCATATTTTAATCGCAAAGAAACTACGTTGAGAAGCTTCCTTTTACTTACCAACACACGTGAAAAGTACGGTGTCGAGGAAAAGTGCAAGAGCGACGATAATTGCCACTAGTAGACGAGAAGAACGCCATCCAGTTTTAAACGTTGAGAACCATTCAAAACTCATAACCTTTGTGGAAGTACACGAAATCGTTCTAATAACAATCTAGAATAACGTTTGTATGTATTTTCTATTAAAAGTCAATTAAATTCACATAAGCGATCTTTCATATGAGTAACACTGTCGGTATTCATAGAAGCGTTGGTTTCAAGCATTTTAATTAGAGCTATTACGTTACTTTCACATTTTGCTATGATACTATCGCCTGTAAAATATAATAGTGGCCGTACGTAGTTTTGCAATAACTCAAGAACGGAAGGAACTATAGGCCCTCGGATTACATTAAAAGGCTGGAAATTTCATTAGACATAGAATTATGGTAGGTCTGATTGGATGAAGAACTGATCAATCATATCGTTTCTTGAGAAAAATAAGAGGACCATAGTTTTATAAAGGACGTTTCTATCTGATTTTATGCTCAAGGATGACTTTTCTATCACGCATCGTTGCAGGAATAGATGGATCGCCCTGAAACTTCTGTTTTCGACTAATAGACGAGATCACGCTTTGAAATAAACCGCGATAGGGCTGATTGATCATGCAGAATCCTATGATGATATTCGTTTTCAATTTAGATCTATTTTCGATATCAAACGGAGCCTGTATCAGATACCACAGATTGATGTAAATTGAAAACGAATATCACCATAGGATTCCGCACGATCAATCACCCCTATCGCGGTTTATTTCAGAGCGTAATATCGTCTATTAGTCGAAAACAGGAGTTTCAGTATGCATGGACAAAAAAGGTTTTGACTTATCGTTATGCGAAAAATGCAGAAACAATACTAACATAGCGCAACGAGATAAATTGCTTTTAATAAAAAAACTGCACTATTCTTCTCTTTTGTCGGTTCTATTCTGTTTTTAAGTTGTTGGCGTTTTTTTAATAGAACGGAAATTATTTTTGCGCAATCGTACAGTTAATATACAAGCAAAAAAACAGTCTTTTCCAAATTCCTTAGAAAAGACACTGGCAAAGCGGCTAGATGTTTGTGCGATGCAAACGGACGTAAAAATATAGTTATCTAACTGATTAATAAATAAATCAAGTTGAATAAGTAAAATCTCCATGGGCAACGCTCCAAATGAAATACGGAATTGTCTGTTCGACTTCCCCTGACTGCGCTACCGACTCGTAGTGTCTAAACATATATTATATTTTCATAGAGTAAAAAACCTCTGACTTCACTGAGTGCTTTTTAGCTAGCCCTGAAAAGCATATGAAAAATTTTCTGATACCCAATAGCGGCTTTTCAATTTTGGGAAACGGAATCCTTTATTATTATTCGTGTAATTTGGAAAAACTAGCACATTCGCGAACACAACATTCTGTTACGCAGATTAGAAATACTACGAACAAATTTACGATCAAGCACTAAAATGGTTCGTTACTAATTATTTTGCATATAAGAAACATAGGATAATATTTCTACTTTTGATCTGGAAACGACCTTTAAAAATCAAACATGGAGAGGTTAAGCTAGGTGGAGTTACTTTTAATTTTATGTATTCGAAAAAAACTGGCAAAAACTTGAGATAACTGGTGACTTACTTATCGCTGTTAGAAACGCATTTTTACACCTAGGTGAATTCTACATAAGGTCTATGTCTCAGCTATCGAAGAGAGGAAGAGAGATGTTTTCCTTTTATTTCTGCCAATGGCGAAAAGTAAAATTGGTCTCGCTGAAACTTTCACGAGTTCGAGATCTCATAGCTGACAGCCGCTCTGAAAATTTCAGTGCGATCAATTGAGAAATTTTTCACATATGACTGTGATCAAACTAAATGACATCTATAGCTTCTGCCAACATGCTATGAATGTTCAATCTCCATTATTTGAGGGTGGCCGGAATCGCAGTCTTACATGTCAGCCCTAACCTCGTCGAATTTGAGTAATATAAATCTGTTTAATGAGCATCTGTTCATTTTTTTCGTCCAGTTAAACGGCTGGAAGTCAGACATTTCACTCACTTTAAAATATCTCTCAAGCGAAAAATTACTAGACTCCGTATTTTTCCTGCATTGTCCCTAAAGATTGTTCGTTCATGCAAAGTAATTAGAAATTCAAACAGACCGTCGAATTACATAAAATCCTCTACGGACACGATCTCAGCCATATGCACTCGCTGAAATAATCCAAGGGCAACCAACACACCTACCGCATGCCATATTCAGAGGATACATGTTTTTGTGTTTTCTCATTAATCTTTCTACCGCAGTTTCGATTTTCTTCAAAACTAACTCGACTATCTTTCGGACTATGAACGTCTCTATCGTCCTATACGAATTCGCTCGCGATTAGCTATCGATTGACTGCAACAATTTCTTATATTCTGCACAAATAGCGACTGGACTCTACTGCACTGAAAAAAAAGGTATTCTACCAAACCCATCAAAAAGGTTTCGCAGATTTCTGAAAAGCATTTTTTTTAACATGTCCACACATTTGCAAGCTTTCGACATCTACGAAACCTTTTTGATGGGTTTGGTAGAGTACCTTATTTTTTTTCAGTGTAGTGGGCGGATGGTCTACCTGACGAGAGGCTGTTGTGGT